CCGCCCGCTGGGTCTCCATCTCCCTCTGCAGTCATGACTGTCCTCCAGGCTGGCCTCTCAGACTAGAGACCCCCTTGCTCACTGAGCCTCCAGTTTATTTATGAGTCTCCGTGTGGACTCATGGTTTCCTCTTTCATTCAGTGGATTTACCCTGAGGCCCAGTTGTCCCTGATTTGGCCGGAGTGGGGCTCATACCTCATCAGGTCTTTGCTTCCTGGCCCCAGGTGTCCCAGGTGGTCTTGTACGTCAGGGTCCAAGCCCCCCCAGGCACCGCTTGCAACCAGCCGTCCCCAGGGGGGCCCGGTCCCTGCAGGGGGGCAGTGACCTTAAGAGCCAACATCTGGGTGCCAGTGAGCTTGTTGTTTTGGGGCTATTGGGGGTCTTGCAGACCCTGCCAGTGGGGAGAGCTGGGGATGCACAGGTTCCCCTAACCCCACCTTGGCTCCTCTCTGTCCCACCCCACTTTTGTCACAGACTCCCATCAGCCTTAATATATGTAATTATTGGCTGGGGGCGGGGGGAGGGGAGGCACCTGGGTGGCTCAGTCGTTTGGGCGTCCGACCTCAGCTCGGGTCATGATCTCGCGGTTCGTGGGTTCCAGCCCCACGTTGGGTTCTCTGCTGACAGCTCGGAGCCTGGAGCCTGCTTTGGACTCTGTGTCTCCCTGTCTCTACCCCTCCCCCAGTCACACTCTGTCTCTCTCAAAAACTAATAAACATTAAAAAATATATATATGTAATTATTTGACCAAATCCTGTGTGTACCTGGCCTCCTGTTGTCTTTACTGACCCCACCCCATGCACCCGCCTTCTCCCCATAAACCTTGTTGGCTCCAATCCCCCAGCGGTTCCCCTCTCTGGGGTGCAGCCACCAGCACCTGGGGGCCCATCTCACTCTCGTCCGTGTGGTTTCTTCCAGAGACATTCTGTCCTATGCATCGTGCTTATTTTGAATAAATAAAAGGCTAAGTTCCCAGGGACATTACAAACAAGGCTGTGCATTTATCAACTGGTTTTCGTCCGTATGTGAAAATAGACATTAACGCACATGAGTTTTTTCCCATCCGTGGCGTCCGTGAACATATTTGTGTAAGTGCACGGATGTCGTGCAGAGGGCTACCATAAGGCATGACTATACAACTTTTTAAAAATTGTTTTAATGTTTATTTTTGAGAGAGAGAGAGAGAGAGAGAGACAGTGTGAGCAGGGGAGAGGCAGACAGAGGGAGACACAGAATCCGAAGCGGGCTCCAGGCTCTGAGCTGTCAGCACAGGGCCCGACGCGGGGCTCGAACTCACGGACCGCGAGATCGTGACCTGAGCCGAAGTCGGACGCTTAACCGACTGAGCCCCCCAAGCGCCCACATCGCTTTTATAAAACAAACACTCACGTAACCACCACTGGAGTCTAGAAGTAGAACTTGATCAGTGCCTGAAGTCACCCACGTGTGCCCTGATTCGGCAAACGTGTTGGTGTTTTTCTCTCCATGCAGCCCTTTCCGCGTCCTGGGCGAAAAGCCTCCACCGATGAAGACAGTGGCAGTTGTGACCGTATTGAGATTGGACACTTGTGTTTACTAGAACATGCCAGGGAGAGAGGGCAGTGAGGGCCTCCGAGCGGGGCAGGGCTGTCAGGGGACGGAGGGGGGACGTGGGCGGAGACACCTGGGTGCCACTAAGAAACCCACAGCCCAGTAGGAAGGATGTGCTCTAGGTGATAAGACACGCGTCCAGCAAGAGGGCATCCAAACGGCAGTCCGCGTATGAGTCAGATGCATCAGGAGTGTGAGGGGGGCATAAACTGCAGCCACAGGGAGCCCCCCCCCCCCGCCACGCCGTGGCCGAAAGGAAGGCAGCCGGGCACCGGAGGCGAAATTTCTCAACGGCTGCCCCTGCCGCGCTGCCCTTCAGGCCTGCTGGCCGGGCTCCAGGAGCCTCTTGTGTCCTTCGATCCACCCCTGAGCCACTGAGTCTTGGCCCCCGCAGCCCAGCAGGTGCCTCGGGTGCGGCAGGTGGGGGAAGGGATGGTGGCTCTTCCTACGGCAGCCGCCTCCCAGGCCCACCCCCATGAAGCGGGATTGAGCAGATCTCAGGGGGGCCCTGCGGCCCGACGGGGTCAGGGACCCGTTCGTCCGCGTGCCCCCTGTCTGAGCCGGCGGTCGGTGGTCGCTATTCTGTGGGAGTAGGGGGCCTCCGGGGGTATCTCCACACCCAGGAGGGAAGCCGAGGGCACGCGATGAAGAAGGAATCTTCTGCGCCTTTCCAGTGTGTGGAGAGGGTCAGGCTGGAGCGGGGGCAGCGTTTTTGGCCAGCGGATGATGGGGACCTGGGACACCTGGGGCCACTGTGGCCAAGGCAAGAGAAGCTGGGGACTAACCGCCCAGCAGCCCCTCATCGCACGGGCGCACACGCGCACGCTTGCACACGGCCAGCGCCAGCCTCCAGACACTCTCTCCATCCTTGGGCCTTTCAAACGGGTCCCGGAGCTGGAGGTCACAAGGGCGGTGGCCAGGGCCAATCGGAACAGCATGGGGGAGGGGAGGGCGGGGAGCGTCGCCCCCACCCCTGCAAAGATGCGTGAAGCCAGGGGCGTGCGGAGAAGGGCAGGAAGAGAGCGCGTGCGTGCGGGGAGGGGGTGGGGCGGGGAGGGTCGGAAGGTCAGGGCGGGGCCCAGAGAGGCAAAGACGCAGACCTGGAAGCCAGAGACCAAGGCAGGACCCCGTGCCCGCCCGCCCGCCTGCTGGGGTCTGGGCTGCACGGCCACAGACACCCCGCCCGGCAGGTGCCAGCACCCTCTCCTGAGCCCAAGGTGGCGGTGGGGGGGGGGGGGGGGGGGGGGGGGCCGGGGGGCGGAGGCAGCGCCTCTGTGGTGTGGCCCCCGCTGCCCAGGAATGGACACAAACGTCTGTGGGCTAAGCGTGCCTTCGGTGCCCGCAAGGCGGTCGTAACGTGTTTGCGACCGGAGCCCGAAAGCCTCAGCCACGAGGGACAGGTTCCAGCGAGAGGCCAGGCCGAGGCCTCCTTCCTGAGGATGCGGTTCCTCCGGGTGACGTCCCGGGAGGTCAGCGGCTGCTGGCAGCGAAGGCTTAAGGAAAAGGAGAGAAGAAAACATGTTGCCTCCACTTTCCCGGCCCCGTCAGGGGTAATGAAGCCACCTGGACCCCAGGGTAGGGCCTGAGCTCATGACCTCCGGTCCCTGTCTCCCCAGATGCCCCCCCCCCCCCCGTGACCATCCCGGCCCTGACTCCTCCGGGAAGCCGATGGGCAGTGGTGGGAACCCACCTGGGCCTGATCTGGAAGCTCCGGAAGGATCCAGGACTGAGCTCGCTGCCCTTCAGCCCCTCCAACCGCCCTCCTGGGGGCCACCCGGAAGGCTCCCAGCTCCCCTCCACTGGTGGCCACAACATAACTCCGTGCAACCCTGCAGGGGTGCCAGCCCCTCTGCCGTCCTGCCACTGCCTGGGGTCAGGAGTCATGCCATGGTGTTCCGGGCCCCTCCCCTGGGCTTCTGGGTGGGGCCGGGGGCTGGAACCTGGCCCCCTCACTAGTGTGCCTTTCGCCACCCACCCCGGCCCCCTTTTGCTTGAAGCCCCCACCCCCAGCCTCTTAGCACACTCACCTGGGAAACACCTCTCCAGACCTGACCCGCTGCTCTCGGAAGCCCTGACCCTCTCACGGCAACGCTGCTCCACCCCCAGCGTCCCGCTCCCAAGTCCCCTCCACGCTCCTGTCTCGGAGCCCCCAGCACGTGCCCCCAGCTGACCACAGCCACACCGGTCCACTCGCCCAGGAAAGACCCCAAACACCTCACCCCTGCCCTGAGCCCTGCCCCCCCCCGCGTGTCCCCCTCCCAGGGAGGTCGCAGGGGAACCCCAGTCCTCGGCCCCACGTCCACACACCCACCCCGTCGTCAGCCCCTGTGCCTCTGTCCTGCGTGAGGGAGGAGTCTCTCTCCTGCTGTCTGGACGCTGCCCAGACAGGGCTCCGTCTGTGCTCTCCGCCCTTCTCTGACACCCATGCCCTGGTGACCCCTGGGTCACCTGGCCTCCTCCCCGTGGCTGTCCATCACTGCCGACCCTGAGCCCCGGGCTTGGCACCCTGCTCTGATGACATCCCCGGGACTCTTCTCCCTTGGCGGCCACCTCCCTGCCCCGCCAAGCACACCTCTCCGCCCTTTCCTTACCTCCTTCCTTCCTCCATCACATTCCCAGAAACCCGATGGGCGCCTCTGGCTTCTCCCTCCTCTGCCCCCGACACTCTGGGTGCTGGGACACCCCCTCTTCCTGCCAGCCTTCCGGCGAGAGGTGGTGTTCCTTGGGCTCCACGCTGGCTGTCACTGCCGGGCCCCTCTGCTTCCACAGGGCTCCTCCCCAGGTCCCCATGTGAGGGCATAGCCCTGGCCAAGTCGGACACGCAGGGACCCCCGGCTCCTCCCGCCCGCCTCACAGCACATCCAGTCTGTCACCAAATTCTTTCATCCACCCATGGTTCCCACTTCTGTGACAGCCTTGTCCCCTGCCTCCCCCCCACCGTCCTTGAAGCCCACAAAGCAAGCCCAGTCCCTCCACTGCGAAGCCACCCCTGGGCCTGGGGGTGAGGTCAGCAGGCCTTCCTCCTTCGCTCTCTGCACTTGAGCTGCCCAGACGTCCTCTGGTTTCCCAGACGAGCCGTGACCCCGTGCCACGAGGGTTCTGCTCCCTCCCCGGGAACACGCTGGTTTTCTCCACTCTAACTTATAGCTGGGCAGACAGCTCTGTTCGTGCTGCCCAATCCTCGAGAGGACTCGTGTTTGGGGCACCTTCTGCCAAAGTCCCCCTCGGTCCCCTTGCACCATGGGCAGAAGACTGCCAGGTCGTGGAGCAAACCCTCCCCGGCGGTGTTGGCACTGGGCGGGGGGGGGGGGGGGCTGAACCGCCAGGCAGTGCCTGAGTGGGGCCCCCAAAGCTGCCAAATCCACCCACCCCCATGCCCTCCCTGCTCGGCCCTGGGACAGAGGCTGGGCTGGAGCCAGACAGGTATTTTATTGAAAGTTCACAGATACAAGAGCTCTGAGCAGGGTCACAGCTTGGAGGAGGTGGGGTCAGAGAGGAGAGAGTGAGTCCCCAGATGCTGGCAGCCCCCCCAAGCCGGGGAGCTCCCACAGAAGCCCTTCTTGCTGGGTGTCGGGCCAGAGGGGCCCCAGGAGCCCGGGAAGGGCACAGGAGGGCGGGGCGGGGGGCAGCCGCTGGAAGCCAGGGTGCGGCAACACAGGGAGAAACCCAGACCCCGGGAACGGGCAGAGGCAGAGAGGGTGGGCTGGCCCGAAGCTCGCTGCCCCCTTACTGTGCGGAGCTTCTGGTGGCCTCGCTGCCCGCTTCACAGCTTCGGGGGGGTCCCAGGGCCCGCGCCCTGCTCTGCCCCAACCACTCCGCATCCCGTGTCGCGTCAGTCATGACAACGGACGTGTCTCGGGGCTTCGTCTCCACGGCCGGCGGCGCCCGGCGGGGTCCTAGTAGTCGGTGAGCGGGTACCGCAGGAAAATGAAGACGAGGATGATACAAGAGGCCGCCAGGGCAGAGCTGGTGATGTTGAACAGCCGGGCGGTCTTGGCGTCTTCCACTGCTCCATTCAGGTCATTGAGAAGCTTCTTGTCTCGAACCTGCAGCCAGAGGGGGGAGGTGAGGCCCGAGGCCAGAGACCAGGGAAAGGCAAATACGGGTATGGGGCACCTCTGTGCGGAGGGCACCCGAGAATTCTTTGTGGTTCTTTTTGCAACTTTTCCACGTCTGAAATTATTTAAAATAAAACAGGACTGTTTAACAATACTGTACTATTCAATCGAAAGTTACTGAATCAAGGAGGCGGTGGGGCGGGGTGGGGGGGGTGACCCCTGGGTGGCTCGGTCAATTAAGCATCCGACTCTGGATTTCAGCTCAGGTCATGATCTCACGGTTCATGGGTTCGAGCCCTGAATCGGGCTCTGCACTGTCAGCGCAGCCTGGGATTCTCTCTCCGATTCTCTCCGTCCTTCCCCTGCTTGAACACTCTCTCTCTCTCTCTCTCTCTCTCTCTCTCTCTCTCTCACACACACACACACACACACACACACACAAAATAAATAAATAAACATTAAAAAAAAAAAGAAAGTTGGCGAGAGCAGATTGTAAGTGTTCCTACCACCAAAACCCCCACCAACCACAAAAACAATAATTATGTGAGGTGGCAGATGTGCTAACGAACCCTCTTGTTACGATCATCTTGCAGGATGTACGTGTATCGAATTGCAACGTTGTGCACGTTGGACTTCTCCAATGTTGTAGGTCAACAGTAGCTCAATAAAGCTGGGATCGACAAATGAATTTACAAGACAAAGGAGAAAATTGGTCTCAGAGAGTTATACGATCAGCCAATGGAGGTTGTAAGTGTGCCCTAGTCTGAGCGTCTCCTTAATCTAAAATTCACAGGGGTTACCTAAGAATAGGCACTAGACAGAACAGGCAGCGGGCCCCGTGGTCTCTGGGAAGGGATGTTAAGATACAGGGAAGACAGTGGGCAGAGCTGGACCCATTTCCAAGATTCTCTGGTTGTGAAGAGGTGCTCCCAAGGAGGAAGCCACCCTCACGCAGGGTAAATCCTAGGATTTCCCTCTCTTCAGCACGTTGTCCCTCCACAAAGTCCAAAGAAGCGTAGTTGGATTTGTGGATGGATGAGAAGGGAGGGAAAATAGAAAAAAATGATAGTGCATGGGTCATATGGATGGATGAGATGACATAAGGGATAACAAGGTGAGAGTGAGCAAGGGTGAGTGTGAAGACAGGTACATGATGAATGGATGCACGCGGCTCAGCTAGAGGAGCAGTGGAAAGAAGGGATGCTGTCAGCTTGAAGGATGAGTGGATTTATTGGTGTGCTGGGTCAGAGGATGGATGGATGGCTGACATGTAGCGGTGGTAAGTAAAGCAGGGAAAGCTACTGGGGGGAAGTAAGGTTAGATGAATAGTCAAGTGAACTGATGTACAAAATACATGGGGACGGGATGGGGCAGAGTACGGAAGGGAGGAGGAAGCAAAATGAACATGTATAAACACAGATGAATAGAGGAGTGGGTGACTATTTGAATGGGTTGAAGGGAATAAAGGAGCAGGGATCAATGTATAAGGGATGGTGAATGGATGGATGGATGGATGGATGGATGGATGGGTGGATGGATGGATGGTGGATAGACGGATGGATGGATGGATGGTTGGTTGGATGGATGGATGTGTGTGTGGATGGGTGGATGGGTGGATGGATGGATGGATGGATGGTGGACAGGTGGATGGTTGGTTGG